ATATATATATATATATATACAGTTGTATATATAGACATGTATGTATATACAAAATAAATATACGTTCACATATACATATATTTCTATCTATATCTATACACACACATGCACACACACACACACACACACACACACACACACACACACACACACACACACACACACACACACACACACACACACACACACACACATAGGAAAAAATAGAAACCAGTCGATTCAGAGCGTTGATGGAAGCAAAGAAAAGTTCGGTGATTCGCTATATAAAGGTATGTGGGTTTACCCTGGTGGTCCAGGATGCGGATCCCCCTGGTAGACAATAATATAAATCATATAAATCTCAAAGGGGCGGAGCCCCCTGGCTAGGGAATATATAGATCGTATTGTATTAAGCCCATGGGCGCATATAGTACCACGGGGGTTCAGGTAGCAGAGCCCCCTGAACCTCGTGGTATTATATGAATAAGTTAAGTTAAGCAAGTTTGTTTACCACCATGGCTATCTGCTCAGGCGTGGGCAATTGTGATTACAGTTTTACATATACTTGATACAGTACAGAAGTCTGTGACTACTGTAATTGTACATGGTAATAGAAATAGAAATCATACATAATACAAAAAAAAAAATTCGTTGATTTGCTTTTGCCACTGTGTTTACATGGCATTCTTATGTGTTTACGGCAGTTTTACATAGTAAATTTAGAATATAGGACGAGTATATCTTCTAAGGTATCAGATGAAATAAAATATTCACATAGTTCTTTATACCTTATGTTTGGTGGTCTGAAAGGATGTATCACATAACAATCCGAGATACAGTGCTCATGTGTTCGCTTGTTTTCGTCGTTACACAGTTTACACAGTCTTCCTCTGTACTTTTTTGCACCGTGCAGTTGCCAGTACATTCTGTAACCTAAACGTATTCTGGCAATAACCACGTCACATTGTCTAGTTTGACTTCGGTGCCACCCATAGGAAGACTTATCTCTGTACTGATCGTAGTGCCTTATGATACAGCTTTCAGGCCTTTGAGTGTTCGTCAGATCTACTAGTCCTTCCTTATGAGAACTTTTCACTATATGTGCAACCCTAGCAAGAGGCATCCCATGATCTATGTTCACAGTATCTTTGCTGTAGGCTTCCTTTGCCAATTTATCTACGTAGTTGTGCTTGCGTATGCCAACATGAAATGGTATCCATACAAACTGAATGTTGAAATTGCGCTCTATTGCATAAGTTACGTTACGCTTAATGCAACTCACTATTTCCTCATCGCCACCTGCTGTGAGAATTTGGTGTTCGAAGAGCACTCTGAGAGTCACAGAAAACTACTCCAGAGCCCCGAGACACTAAGAATTCCGTTGCAAGGAGTATACCTGCCAACTTCGCTTGTGTAGTGCAGATGCAATTATGCACTCTCATATTAATGTGTTGTTGTAGTAAGCCATTTTAGTATACATCACAAGCACAACCAGCTTTGTGTCCAGACTGTACGGATCCATCAACGTAACACTCGTATACATCATCGTCCATAGATTGTGTGTGTTTCTTTCCCGATAACGCAATTTGTTTTAACACGCAGTTATGTACACTGTTTTTTTGTAGACATGTAAGGTGCAATATGGATTTTTTTCCATGGTGGAATGGATCGACCCTTTGGAATTTTAGTACTTGGGACATTATCACGTCTGCTTCCGTGATTTTATGTTGCAGTTGTTTTTGGAAATCTGAAAGATACAAGGGTTCCCTCAGGGCTTTGACCCCAAATATGATGGAAATGAATATTATTCTATCAGAAATGGATGGTAGGTTTAGTTCTGATCTCTTGTTCACTATTCTTGTTGTTCTCGGGGCGACGATGATAATCCCCATGGCTTTATTTTGCACTATCTCCAAGCTATTTATTTCTGACACTGCAACAAGTGTAGTGCATGGTAGTCTACAACTGACCTTATAAAAGCCAAGTAAAATAGTCTAGTGACCTTAACATTGATGCCATGTTCTCTTCCGACAAGAACTTTCAACAGTTTCAATATCTCCCAGAGTCACTTCTTCAGGGAAAGGATCAGGTCTGCATCATCTACGTTCACCCCAAGATATGTATACTCATGTCGAGCTCCTGGTCACCTATGCGAGAAGTGGGTATGGATATGACACATGGCTTGAGAGCCATTGTTTTGACTAATCCACACTCATGAGCCCTTACTGTGAGATTGTCGAGAATTATTTGCATCCTCTCTTGTGATGATGCTTTGACACACATATCATCAGCATAGCATATAATGGATTCACCATCCCCAAGTGGAATATCTGCCACCAGTTTGTGCATAAGGACATTGAACATCATAGGGCTGATAACTCCTCCCTGTGGCGTCCCAAGTTCAAAAGATTGTGAAATGGAACTTCTCACTCCCCTGAACAAGACACTTGCCTCGTTCTTTTGCACGATACACGTTTATCCTGATGCCATTTTCAATATTTCCCGCACCTTTGTCTAGAGTGTTCAGAGCCTGGAGAGCACTCTGTGAATCACAGAAAATGACCCCTGAGCCTTGATTTAATAGAAATTCAGTGGCCATAAGTATTCCTGCCAACTCAGTTTGCGTAGTGCTAGCCCAGTCGTGAACCCTCCAACACACATGGTGCTGCAAAATACTGTTTTTATATACAACAAAAGCGCACCCTACTCTGCTCCCAAACTGCAAGGATCGGTCAGTGTAGCATTCATATGGATTGAACAGAGTTTCTAGATGCTCATTTATAATTGCAAGTGCATACTGCATAAGTATAGCAGGGGAGACACTGTCATTTTGGGGGGCAGTCGTATAATATACACTTAGGTCCGACATTTTCCACGGTGGTACAGAACGTCCATGTAGGGTCTTAGTTATGGGTATGTTCAGCTGAGCTAAGTGTTTACACATTACTTGTACCCATGGTTTTGAGAATGAATCGGTGTTGTCATTCAAAGTTGGCTCTTCTATTGTTTTAGTTGTTTTTTTGGAACTCTGTACAATGGATTGATTTGATACTAAATGTGGTATTTATGTATAATATTCTTTCATAAAGAGAAGGCAAATTAAGTTCTGTTCTCATATTCACAATCCTTGTTGTTATAGGGGCAGTAAGAATGATCCTCGTGGCTTCATTTTGTACACTTTCTAAACTAGTCATTTACCGAACGATGGGTTTGGTTCCCGTAGAGTTTTTTTTTTAAAGTTGGCGCGTCGGTCCGCAGGCTTTTGAAGATGCCGAACGTCCGTAGATTTTATTTTGTGCTGACGCATTTCTGTTCTCTTCTTATTTCAGCCTGTTTTATGCGATGAAAGTAATCATCAGATTCGTTCTCATCAAAAAATAAATCTGAAAATATAGATAATGTCCGGGAATACAAAAAAAAATCCTGCAACTGAGCATGGCAGGATAGACCGTCAGACTTGGCATCGAGAAAGAGAGAGAGCTGAGAGTCGAGTGGTGAGGCCGAAGGAACCAAGCAGTCAGAGAACGAGTGAGGGTGTACGGAAAGTTGCTTCCCTTTACTCTCACTCGATACCCGACTAACCTACAGTTATTCCAAGTCACTACTTTTTCCCTGAATGTTTTCCATACTCTGGGAAAAGGAAGTCAGAATAACTGTAGATCCGTCGGGAAAAAGATACACTTATCTTTCTTCCACTGATAGTTCTGCAATAAATAACAATTAGTACGATTCCATGCATATTATATCATGATCAGTTTTCCACGGTAGTTACTGGGATACTCGGTGGGAAATTTACAACTCCCCCCCCCTTGGAAAAATATAATTTAGCCTGATAGTCCTGGCTCAGTTTCAGTTGTTGTACGCAGCTATGGCTTTCGTAATGGATGGTTAATGGTTAATGGTCAAAAGCAAATTATTGTGCTAGCTGGGCAAAGGAATTAACGAGTGAATTCTGTAAGGATGTCTGATAGGTTAGGAGGTCGGTGAAGGGAGGTTATGTGGGGGAAAACAGAGGTACGGGCTCCATCAAAGCATGGGCATGACAATAGAATGTGTGGAACTGAAAGAGAGATATTACATACGAAACATAGGGGTGAATCAGTGTGACAACAGATAGGAGTGTATTAGACGGTGTGGCCAACGCGTAAGCGGGCGAGAGCCGTCTCTCGACGTCTGTTCCGATGAAATGGAGCTGACCATGGGGAGATTGATAATTTTTCAGTATGTAATTTAATAGTGCGGAGACTTAACCAGAAAGACTGCCATCGGTTATACAAGGTCTGGTATACCTGAGAAACGTGGTTGGTGTGATGTGGACATAGCAGCGTAGCGTGCTAGAATATCTGCCTGTTCATTGCCGGGGAGAGAGAGAGAGAGAGAGAGAGAGAGAGAGAGAGAGAGAGAGAGAGAGAGAGAGAGAGAGAGAGAGAGAGAGAGAGAGAGAGAGAGAGAGAGAGAGAGAGAGAGAGAGAAAGAGAGTAAAGTAAGTAAGTGGGTGTTTGTTTGTTTATGGTTTTGCAGGGTGGCACTTTTACTAAATAGAATTATTGGGAGGGTAGCTTATTACTAGAAAATGAATTATCAAGAATGTTATGTATTATTTAGCATTCATTTTGTTTACTTGGCCAAAACTATGTGTTAAAAAAATAATTTTAAGTGATAAGCCTGTAGCAAAAATCAAAATCAAAATCAGTCTTCATAAATGAATTGAGTCTCATTTGCTCTTGCTATGACATTCTCCAAATATCAATGAGCAGCACTCTCGTAATTCAGTCCCTATCCTGTGTTGGAAATGATAGGCTTCATGGAAACACTCAGACGTTCTAAAAATAAAGTATAACAAGCCTTATGATATTGCAAACTTTCACTGCCACTTTCAGGTGATTCCTTTGTTAAAAGAAAGGTGCTATAGCTCTGTATTTTATCCACAACAAACAGGTGGTATATGTTTTCCCTTCTTCAGATAAATCCAATTTGCACAATAATGCATTAAAAGTTTTTACTTGGAGGACAATAAAACATTTTAAGCATAGTGTCTCATACCTCATGTTGAGCAATTAGTATCACAGAACAGCGCACCACTGGTCTATGTTACACAAATAATTTATAATCAAATGTATTGGGACAAAAAAAAATAATAATAATTATACCAATTTATAAGGACCATGAAAACTATGACCAGTTAAATAAACATTATGTGGCAATATAGTACCTGCATTGAAACCAGTACTGTTGATATTATATCTGGCTTATGTTTCCCATCTCTTCTAGGTCTTTTTGAAAGGAACTACAAAGATATTTCAACATTATCTGGTGTCACATTTCCCTAATGTTGCATCAACATTTCAAAGCTATTAGAACTGCACACAGTTTTACCTTTTTCACACCACTCCCAAAATTGATATTCTGCAGTCTTCTTATAAAGCAAATATTTGTGTAAAGGTTTTAAAAAGTAAACTATGTAAACAGAGGGTAATGTAACTTTTTCACTATTATTTAAATGCTTTCTGTATGGTAAAGATCCCAAAGTTTAATCCTATTGAATGAATTTAGATATCATGGATATCCTATTGGCAACTGATTTTGAGAGATAAAAGCCTGTTTTTAGTAAGAATAAAGACATTTTCAGTGACTACTATTTTTAATTATTTGCAATACTCTTCACAAGAGAGACTTCTGAATCAATACACTGCCAATTGAAGTATAAATGTAAGATAGAGAGATAAGATTAACATAAAAAAAACATTCCTGAATATTAAAGATTACACTTCCAAATAAATTGCAAAATACATTGCTTCCTCTATTATACTTAGATATCAAAATTGGTCAACCACATACTTCCCATGTTGACTCACACCATACTATCCACAGTGCTTCACCTGTTTGACGCCAAGAGTACATGTATACGTGTACTGTCCATTATGATTTTGTTTTACTTATTTCTTTTACGTGCAGGTGGCTCCAGAAGTCAATAACAAGGTTTACTTGAATTTGCTGATTATCCCAATAACTGAATTTGTAAAAAACATATTTCTACTTTTATTATCACTGTAAATAATGCTATAATAATGATGACAGCAATAATAACAATATTGTTATTAACGATAATAATAATAGCAATATATATTTTTTTCACCAGAAATTCTAGGAGTAGGGTAAACAAGTGTGATCAGCTGGCTCCTTGGTGACCAACTCCTTGTGAAGCCATCTATGTATAAAGAAAATGAATAAAACCAAACCACAGTGGATAATACATATGCCAATCACCAATGGGTTAAACTTTGCAAACTATTTCATTCTCAGATGATGAAAAGAACTTTTTACATTACAACAGCTAAATGTGAGATCACCTTGAGCCTATCTTACTTAATTTGGTATTAATTCTTATATTCTAATCCTTGTTATCTTGGACATTGATCTGTTAATTACCGAATAACCATCAAGGTAAGCTAAACATCTTGCAGTATGAAGAAAGAAAGGCTCAAGGCTCAATAGACATTTTCACAGTCCCTGAACTAATAAATAGTATTCACGACACTCACCTCAAAATAGAGGATTTCAACAAAACTATTACCAACCAACACTCAAATTCAAAGACCTAAGACACACGAGATTCCTGACATAAGTATGATTCTGACTGGCAATGGATATGCATTGCACTGTTGCTTCAAATATCAAACAGCTCACAAAGCATTGACTTGCTAATAATTATTAAAGCTAATGTGGCCCAAATGCTTCCAATTTCCTCCCTGTATGCAATGAAGCATGATACAAAATTTGTCAACACATATAATGCTGGGGTGAAGAACATGAAATAATTTTCCTGAAAAATCGGGAAAATAATGAGGATAAGTGATTAACATATAAAAGAGGGAACTGAAAAATTACCACCTCTGCCCTGATATTTATGAAAAATTGGCCAATAATAATCTATCTGTGCTATGAATTTCACACTTCACAGCCTGCTGGCATATGCATTCATCCCCATTTCAAAAAGCTACCAACAGCTCTCAAGGAAAAAATTGCTTACATAAAAAAAAACCATGCATAATTTTCAGATCTCAACCTTTCAAAAGTCAAAATTCAGGACAAGAGTGCATAGAAAAAATAAGAATAAGAAGGTACAGAACTAATGATGCAAGTTCAAAATCAAGATGAACATCAAAATGATGCAAGTTCAAAATCAAGATGAACATCAAAATGATGCAAGTTCAAAATCAAGATGAACATCAATCTTATATTAAAGTGTTCCAAACCCTTTACTAGCTGATCACCTGCAGAGCCAAAAACTCACCTTCCAAACCAGTATTTCAATAAAAACAAAAAATGAATATATAAAATGAAATTCTCAGACATGAATGTACATCTTATTCATCCCCAAACATTACCACTTTTCTGTTTTAACCTCTAATATAATATTCCGAATTACATTTATATTTTCTATCATCCTCTACATTTATTTACCCATTAACTCTCTCTTATTTGAGATACAAATCTAACATTAATCATTTAGGGTAGTGTGGATTCACGACAAATACACCATGGTAATTACTATACACTGGCACAACAATCAAGAGTGCCTCTGAAGTCCCTCTGAGGTCCAGAAAGAGAGAACCTTTGTCTGTTGATCCGAGTTACAACTGAGGATTTTCTCACACGTGTAAACATTTTATACACATCAGATATGGCTCAGCAGCAAGTGTGAAGAGGTTGATCCCCAAGACTGCTAGATCAAGATAACATGGAAACTTTCTGTGCACAAGGTTATGAACAAAATAAATAAATAAAATAGGATAATTTTTTTCTCTGAATGATATTAAAAAAAAAAAAAAAAAAAAAATACAGAAAATGTAGACTGTCTCTGGGAATATAACGAGTGAAAATTTTGATAACTGCCTGATTTGCAGGAAATTATTTCTGTTGTTATGAATGGTTATTGTGAATGGAGTGTATCAGTCAGTGACAAAGTTTCATAACTAAAAGTTTTTAAGAGTAAGAATATGCATTAGAAATTCATATATACAACATGCAGCACACAATTACACAACCATAAAAGATTTACATCAACTGATGCTTCCTTAATCTTTCATTAGTTTCACACTGAGATCATACTTCTATACACACCAATAATAAATACATAACAACCACAAGCCAAATCCTGCACACCCACACCATGCAATTTGACATGTTGATAAATAAGAGTAAAAACCAACATGAGAGGGAAAATGTCTCAAGTGTTCCTTGCACAGAATGCTGAATAATGATGGATAAATATTACTAAATAACACACATTCAATATATCATCATTCACCATTCAATGTGAAAAAGCATGAAACTTTAGTAACTGGTGGCCATAAACTGTCTAGAACAATAGTTCATGATAATAGTGAAAATTAGAAATAAAACAATAGTGTGAAAGATCTAGAGGTTTACAAAAATATATTTCCCCATCCTTCACTAGGGTACAAACACCTGAATAGTATTGGCTATTAACTGTTGACCTTGCAATTGATTAATATAATTTCCTAAACTCTATATTATAAATGCCTATACAAAATGAATTCCTTCTTTATTAAATGCATGTAATAATGCTAGAAAATCATCCTGATCCATCTGTCTTGCTCGTTTCTTGTCAAAATCACCTTCTGCCAAAATATCTTCAACTTTTGCCTTTATGTCGAAGTCGTCTGGGATTTTCTTTTCATGCACAGAACACCATGTTTTATAGTTCTTCTCTAAAGTCTGAAAGTAGGAGAATTTCAGTTAGACATTTCATTACCTTTCACTGATATAAATCTTTTCATGAAAAACTTTTATGTCTCCTTAAATACTAACAAACAACAAAATACATAAAAAATAAGAGGATTTCATTAAAAAAAAAGTTTCCTAGCTCTGATAATCCTATGAGCTGGGATAGCATGACATAAAATTGAAAACATTGATTAAGTTTTCATGTGATTTGATATCCTTTTTTATCCTGCTACATACTGGAGAAGTCTTTTGTCTATCTAAATTTGGTTCTTCCTATGCAAGTAATCCCGATTTTCTATTCACTAGTGGAACTTGAGTTTTCAACAATATTTATTTCTAAAAATATTTTTTTATCCATGCTTCTTTTTAGTTTTAAAATATGTATGATTAAATCCTGAAGTTCTTATTAGTCAGGATTGGCCAGAGAAGATTCTCAGTGAAGTCACAATAAATAAGAAAAAAAGAAAACTATTTGGAGAGCTAGGGTCACTAAAAATTTATTACTATCATGTGGCAGCTAATGCAGTGAAGATGAGATAGCTTTGTGGATGGATGCAAATTCTGTTAACATATTTCTCTGAGTTTCCTTTCAAAGGTCTGCATGTGTACAAAACAACCAAAATATGCCATTACCTGTATTACTGATGCTTGTTTAAAAGCTGAAGCAAGAGTCTTGTTCTTTCTTACAAAAGCAATGCGAAGAAGACCATCCCACTCTGAAAAGTTGATCTTTGGAACTGGGTTCTTCGGTTCTATTCGGACAACAGATGACTCTACCTGCAAGTAAAATAATTTTTTCATCATATGATAACATAATAGAACTAATTATGGTAAATATTTGTACTCAGGAAAAGTACTGAGAGAGATGATTAAAGAAAAAAAAAAGGAAATGATAAGAGATAAAAGGGAGAAAACTGACTACAGACAGAGAGTGAGGAAAAGGATTGGGTAAAACCTACAAAACTATGTTCCTAACTACAGACTAAGAAATGCAAAAAGACAGAAATGTAAAAATTACCTTTGGAGGAGGCCTGAAGTTATTTTTGCCAACCTTCATGATGTGATCTACCTTGGCTAACAACTGAGTGTTAACAGTAAGCCTGCAATATAGCTTATCACCTGGTCTGGCAACTAATCTCTGAGCAAATTCTTGTTGAAACATAAGAATTGCGCATTTGAAAATGGGTCGGTGAAGCAACAGCTTGAAGACAAATGGTGAAGAAATCTGTGAATATTGCAAATGTTGTTATACATTGCTATAACTCTTACA